TTATATATTTATATATATATATATAAAACTTCTGTTACATATTCAATCAAGAGCAGACAAATATAAGTGAATAAAAACATTTGTCATCAGTAGATGTAAAAGAGATATAAGTAGTCTACAAACTAGAGTCAGTAATATGATGTGGCTATAAATGAATTGTTTGACATCAATAATCATACATTTCATATTCATGTGTAGGCATTTTTATATATACATACAATATGCTTAATGAGGTCCCTAGACCTGCTTTACTAAAATGTACTTAATGGGCAGAGACAAGTGGGTCCTCAGAAATCCAGGCCCTATGCCACACAGGGCTTTATAGCTGATGACTAGCACCTTGAATTCTACTCAGAAACTGACTGGCAACCAATGCTGCTCATCTAGCAGTGATGACACATAGGCATTTTGGAACATGCTTGTTATTGCTCACACTACTGCATTTTGAACCATATGTAGTTTCTGGGTGGTCTATAAAAAACACATATTTTGTTTTTACTGCTATGTGAGATTTGTATGCCATTAAAAACAACCAAAATTGAAACTTTCAAGCTGAGAGCGTCAGGTCCCCCCAAAACAAGAAAGAAACCTGGTGATGTTTTCAAGCAGATTTCTTTATTGCTCCTCACCTGTAGACAAACTAAAGCACTCTATTATCTACATCAAGTATATATATTCTGAGGAGTATTATAAAGGACCTGTCGTTACTCTCTTTTTCTCACACGAACTATCTGAACTCCCTTCCCACCTGGGAATCCAGCCCAGTACATGCCATCACAGGGAGCCAGTTCATATGTGATGCAGGAAAATTCTGGATTATTACAGTACTCAACTTACAACCACAACTGAGTGGCTTAGCCTACAGCTCTCTATTTTATATTGTGACTTTACAATTCATTTTAATATGTCATAGAATTATCATTAATCTGTGCCTAAATTGTGTTGTTACACATACATAAAATACTTCTATTAAAACCATTGTTATTTAAAATTAAACAACATCTATTTATTTAGCATTATCTAGAAATTTAGTACAGTTATAGAAAACAGAATGAAGGCATCTAATAGAAATTTCCTTTTCCAATTCATTTACTGAGTTGAGTTTGTCCAGTGAATCAAAGGCAAGAGAAGACACTGGACAGCCACTTGTCCAAAATGGTATAGGGTCTGCTTGAGAAGGTCCCTTCCAGCCCTATTCTATCCTAAGGCAGCTATGGGAGCAATGCTTATGCACAGGCTTCACAAAGTCAGAATATTTATATAATTGGGAATCCTGTTACATCTGCAAGCAAGTCCTTCTTTATTTCAGATGCTATGGGTCTCTTCTCTTTTGTAAATAAATATAATCTTCAGATGCTCTACAAAGGAAGTTATTTTAAAAAATTAACTGCAGATTGATGCAATTTGTGAATTCAAGTAACTCTTTTTTTGCAATTTCTAGGAGCTCTTCAGACACTCATGCCACATACAGTAGAGTATATGGACACGTGTCCCTCCGTGTCCACAAAGCATGGGAATAGGAATAGGAATAGGAATAGGAATAAGAATAGAATAGAATAGAATAGAATAGAATAGAATAGAATAGAATAG